ATGCACATAACCAAAACAAATACTGTAATGAACAATAATTATATACAGGATGTACAGGATAAATTAAAATAAGATAACAAACTTTGAGGAGCGAAACCAACCATAGAAAAAAAATTTGACATCAACATATGTCCGTCAAACTTACTGTTACTGATATAAAATATATATTATTAATAAAAATAAAAAGTAATATTTATTATTATGTAATATTCTCGCTCCTCTAAAGTTTGTTATCTTATTTTAATTATATCTTGTATATATAGTAACTAGTACAATAAAAATTATTATAATAAATAATAAAAAAAATATTTAAAAACTTCATTGATCTTTAAATAGTATTAGTTTTGTATACTTTTTTATGATTATTTCTTTAGACTTGATTATATTGGAAGGCTTGTCATAGATAAGCTTGTATAGTTTGTCATCACACACATCAACATAATCGACGCATGCGTATTGCAATAAAATGTACAGACAAGGATAGATAGATGTTGAGGACAACGGCAAGTCAGCTATGCCCCTTCCAGTATATATGTTCTAAGGTGATCTTTGCCCATCTCTACTTCTTCCAGTAGTATATGTTCTTAGAGCTGAATAGTCGTTTCAAGTGCAGTTTACTCCAACGTATTATCTTAAAGATGGGCATTACTGGATTGATTGCGAGATAGTAAAATACTAGAAATGCACCATAAATCATACAGTATTTTCAGTAATTTACTAGCTCGCAATCAATCCAAAAAACAAAAATATACCGTGTGCCGCTGGCACTTTAGGAGCGGCACTATTAATTTATGAGTGGGGTTTTCTCTCAAGATTATTGAAATTTATGAAAATTTATTGAGAATATTTTTCTATTTTTAAATTTATCATGTGGAAATATTTTAATAGATTTCCATGTCAACCATGAGGTACTATTGCTGACGCGTTTCTTTTCCCTCTCTCTCTCTTTTTCTTTTTTTTTTTTTAGTCATTGAGCGTTATTCAGAGTCCGTTCTTATCAATAAAATTGCCTTACGTATGATCCTAAAATGCTATGAAGCAATCAGAAAGCCATATTAGTATCTTAAGACAGTACTTAAGATAATTCTGAAATAAGAACGGACTATGAATACCGCCCATAAAAGGCCATTTTATCTCATAAAAGGTCAAGAAAATCTAATCTTTTTCATATTTTATTTTTTTTAATTAAGATTTCATTATTTTTTATTTTTAGTGAAGTAGGCCTACTGAGGAAACCACACAAAAAGAAACCCTAGCGGCTGCATCGCGTGCGGTAAAGAGAGGGCGGTATTC